GGTACCTACATGGACTGCAAATAAGCTATTCTATAATAATAAATTAATAAACCTATGACAATTATTTTTTTAAATAATTTAGTTTTACTTTTCCTCCCAAAATGCTTTGCGTTCGTCGAGAAACCTAACCTAACCTACGACTGCGCTTTTATTATGGTGGGTTACAGCTTCTGAAGCACGTTTTCCTGGAACCGATATTATGTTATAATAACATTTTGTCGTCAGCTCATCTTTATATTCGTATAATAATTCGTACAATATAGGTAACCGCTCTTAAAAAGAGTTGTAACAATACATAATAATTTTCAAACGGCGCACGTTTTTACAGGCTCACGACAAACGGTCTTGTCGTCATTTTGTATTATACAAAATAAAAACTATAGTACTTAATATAACCTCCTAAAATAATGCCATATTACTACATATATATAACTACCTACATACCTATATATTTTTCAGTCTTTCCACCCCTGTCGGAATAATATTCGACGAATGGTTCAGTCGTAAAAAAATATGCAGTCTGCTGCAGCTGTATCGTTTTAAGCGTGCTCAGCTCGAGCGATTCGTCGAACGCGTGTTAAGCAGGGCTGAATAATATACTTCTCGGGAGAGGTTATGACACGCTATCGAATTCTAGCGGATTTAACAATAACGGCGCCGGAAACGATTACATTATATGTTTCCGAACTCTTGCGATTGAGACGCATAAACGGTGTCGGGGGTGATGACAGATATGAAACGGGAGTGTAGTTTTAAAACCATGAAAATATAATAGCAAAAGTCGAAATCACGAATATAAAAAAGGCGAAAACAATAATAGCGAAAAGTAGAACATTTTTCACGTAGATATTATGTACAAATGAAAAAAAAAATCGTGCGTGTTGCTATTGTATACGCAACGTGGATGAAGTGAATAACTTCTTTACAGAGGATATGAAAAGAAAGGTTCATCGAGGTCAAATATTAAGATAGTAATGGAGAGATAAAAATATACAAAAAATTCAATTTTCAGTCGAAATTAATTTATTATTATTACTACACAAACTACAAAGATAAGACAAATTGATTATTAATTATTACCATGGAAACCTTAGAGTCAAAACAGACGACCGGATTTTGGCAGCCACCGTCTGCTGTCTGTTTTTTTTTATATACCTATATAGTTTGATTGTAGAAAAAGACTGACGTTTTTCACCGGCTCTGGCATATTTACTGAGCTAGGAACACGGCTCTAATTGTGTTAATACATATGGTTATTGGTTACTACCGGGTTGACTATTGGTTACAAATTATACAACAGTGAAACCGCTGCATATAGGTGGACATATCACTCGGACAATCACCATAATATAATATGTTCACAGGTCGAATAATATTTTATTTGAAGAATTTACAATGTATTTGAAATTGTACATATTATATTGGTACCTGTTGTATAACTAACAGTAAATACATGTGTTTTCAATAAAAATAAGCGAGCGCCTTGATTGAGCGGTTTTCTTTCAAAAGGCTATATACAATTTTCTTCCCCAGAGTCCGAGATCTGCGAGCACCGAGTCTGCAACTATTCGATATTTGTTTTTTCACTATTCGGCCAACAAAATATGAAACTATTGCTTATTTAAAAAAATATTATGTAATATTAAAACGTGCATTGTACGAAAAACTGTATACCTGTTGTATACATTTGATGATAATTGAAATAAGAATTCCGTCTAACGAACACTGTTTGCTTTATTACGAGACTGCTACGGGGGTTATTTTCATGATACATCATCGTTTTCCAAAACGTAACTGGAACAGCAGTAGGTTTCAATTTATGTCAATTACGTTTTCGGCGAAATCGTGAACACCATCATAATATTGATATAATATATTTATACATATATATACATATGTATATAAACGTATATTTATGAAATATGACATAATGACAGAATGGTTTTCCCGAAAAATTTAATTAAGACAAGATGAACTTTTTTCCCATCATATTTCCATCGTTCCGACCAAACATTAATGTATAAAATTGTGTGTGTGTGTGTGTTTGTACGTGATTACGCGAACTTCTTAAAATCGAATTCATCGCAATCGTGCCCTTCATTTTACGTTTCTCAAATTGGTCTTCCTCCCTCTTCCTCCACCGCGCCAACGTTGTCGTGATTTCCGGTTTGACTTGACCATCGACGAATCTAATGAAAAAAAATAATAACAGAATACGTACCTATGTACAATCACGTGACAAATACTCGAGTCCCGTTTTGATTACTAAGAAAATAAATCACTTGTTAGTGTTATTATAGTGCTCCGAAGACAAAAAAAAATATGAACCTATGTTATAAACTTATAACCATTGCTTATATATACTAGTATATATAGTCAATGGTTATACTCTTTAAGCGCAAATTATGTAATTGTTATAATATTATTAATTATCATCGGACCTATGAGCATAGAATTATTAGATTTATTATAATTTACGGACCATCCCCTGTTGCTCTTCCACCCCCAAATACGACTACGATTACTCCAGACTTGTCAGCTCATCGTCACGAGACTCTTGACGTCCACATACCTCTTTTAGACTGTTAGTTATTCCAGTTTTGTACTCATTAGTTGAAACGTCAGGATGTTCGTGACTTTTAAATATTTTATTTTATTGGTCAGGCGTACACTGTTGACCAAATTATAAATCCGTTTGATGTGACGTACAAACAGTAATATTAAATTTCATTCTGCATATATAATTTGTATTTTTTTTAACTAAAAATTAATTTTTATGTTTTCAAGAAATCGTTTTAAATTTAAAGTAATTTTCTGAAAATTGCATGAACGTTGTAGGCCATTTTCCGTAAGATTTCAAATGAAACGATTTTTTAAAAACCCTACCTAAGTAAAAACAAACTTACACATTTTAATTAAAAACAATTATTAACCTAGAGTAAATGTAGGTAGTATGATTATTAAAAATAAAAATAAAATTATATCACTAAAGATTATAAAAGTAGACGCGGGAACCATCAAACCAAAGATGCCATAGCACCGGAAGATAAAGACGGATGAAGATACATTTTTTTGACGGTTAGGTTATAACCAAAATAAAAATAAAAAAAATTATTAAAGATTATTGGTAATTAATTTATTATTTTAAATCCATTGAATCATGCAATGTATACATTTTTTTAACGCATTTTGTATTATCAAATTTGATTGTTTTAAGGGCACAATATTTTCATGAATTGTTTAGATATATTTTAAGGTCATACACATCGTAACCTTACTCATAAGAACTTTACTACCCGTTTCTACGTATGTGTCATAATAATAATATGTAGTTTGACGACTATAAAATCGATCTCTGTGGTGTGTATAATATTTCTACACAGTATATAAGGGTTAAGTTTTGGTCAAATCCATTTACAATTTGACATTTGACGACGACGCGTTAAAAATAATTTTTTGCCTTTACATTCGCCTAACGGTAAAAAAAAATGTAAACAAATAACACAGCCACCCATGACGATTATTTTGGGAAGGGTGACTTAACTAAGGGTTATTCGAGGGGTTTCGTGATTTTATTTAAGTTTAATACGATTCGAAGCACACGTCCCAAAATCGACACACTCGGGCGAGATTACAGCAATTTTTATTTTGTTTTAATTTTTTTTTTTTTTTTTTGCCGTCCCAAGCAAAAAGATCCCAATTGGTTTTTCTTCCTTGACGAGGTGATGAAACTTTAACTGTCTGCGTACGTATTATATTATATAGTACATTATATACACACGAAACTTAAGCTATAGCCTCGAAAAGGGATAATCCGCTTTCGGCCGCATATTTTTATTTTTTTATATAATAAATATTATTATACCACGACCGCACATAATGTACCTATGCATAGTAAAATAACATTGAGAGGACTATAGAGAGATCTAGGACGATATAATGCACGCCTACCTAATTTCACGCCACTTTGTGCGTGTGTGCCACACAAAAAAAAATGCTGTCGAGTGTATGGCAAAGTGTTCATTGTTTCTATTTTTAATATTAGACATGTATATACAATGTGTCTACTTTTTCGCTGTTTATTTTTTTAATTTAATTTACCTAATATTCAAGGATATATTTTTTTTTCAGTTAAATCGTCTGTTCAATATTCTGTAATATTACTCAGTAATCTGATTATTTTTTTTTTGTTTTCCTGGTTAAGCTTTTATACATTTTATATTACTTAAATGGAATTTTTTGCAGCTCTGCTACTGTGATGTCACTGACTCGTATATCTATATAAAAATGTTTAATAACGTTTTAGTTGGTCTATTGGGTTTTCATTCTATTTCGTTTTGAAACCGACTTTCCAATTTTAAATGCATATTCATTGTAATATGTTTATTTTAATACTTATTTATGTTATACTATTAGTTAATTTATAAATAAATAAGTGAAATTGTGCGTGTTGCAATAGTTTGCGCGGATAAAGAGAAACTAACTGTCAAATATTCTGTTTGTATTTCAAATGAAATGTTCAATCAAAATTAATTTATACCTAATTAGTAATTACTATAGGTACACAAAAATACGGCAAATGGATTGTTATTTATTACCACAGAAACTTTTTGGTGTCCAATAATCCACGCTTTTTGGTGGCAGCGCCTTAGCCCTTGAATCCAACTTACGCTATAAAAGTTTCACTTCAAAATAAAATAAAATATATTATGTAGTTTGGTGTGATGCGACGTCTGACTTCAGTCACAAATGTGCTCTGACTGCCAGCTTTGTCCAGTGACACTAGTTTCCGGATGGGTGACCACCCGGTTTCATAGAGGTGAATCCTCGAAACACACACACGTGTTCCAAACCAACAGGTGTACCCTCTCACACAATTAAAAATCTACTAAAAAACCACCCAACGGGGCTTTGGGTTTACTATTAAAAAAATTATGATAATATAATAATAATAAAATATATTATAAATATTATCATAGTTTTGTTGACTTTGTCCGCAGACTCGCGATCCGGCGGCATTCGAGGCGGGTAACGTACAGATCGCGAACATGATCGGCGCCGACCTCTAAAGGACAATGAACGACGACGACGGCGGCGGCGGTGGCGGTGCAGACGGGCGGCGTTCGGTCCGGCACCACGGCAAGCACCACAAAATGGCACCGCCCAACAGATGGCCGACCACAGGCGGGTCGGTGGCCGCGGCGTCGGTGGCCGACGTCGTCCGCCCGGCCGCGTCCGTCGTGGGCCGTCACCACCGCCGGCACGACGTGCTGGCCGCTGCGGCCGGCGTCAACGACACCGCGGCCAGGTCACCGCAGCCGCCGCCGCCACCGCATGTGCTGCAGCACGCCGCACCGGACAGCATGTGCTACACGACCAACGAAGTGCTCGTCATCATCGCCGTCACGTGTTTCCTGAACTTTGCGTTCATTTTGCTCATCATGACGTGCGTGCACTGCTTCACAGACCCATCGCATCACAAAAAGTAACGTGTAACCGTAAATAGATAATAATTAGAGCTGTGGTTTTAATGCATTAAAAACCAACGTAAAAATGCACTTATAAAACACCGAAACCCCTTAAAATAGGTACTTAACGAATTCCGAAAAATGCACTCATAAAATGTTGTATACATAAAGAATCATAAAAACATTTTAAATTTCAACGGATATAAAAATCTCTCAAGTTTCTCAAAAATATTTTAAATAAAGATAATATAGTATTAATTAAATACGAATAGTGTGAGCGGATTGTGTGAAATATTCATTCAAGACTAAAATGAAAAAATAATTCATGAAATGTTCGTAAAAAGGTTTTAATGTCAGAAATTATTAAAATTATCGAATCATTAAAGAATGAATAAATTACCTATTTTATAGTAGGTAAATGCATTTTTCTACAAATTCACAACATTAATACTGATATTATATTACGATAGAAAACGGTAACAATACCTTTTTGGGGAGTCGATCCCGTCAGACGTTGATCAAGAAATCCGAAAAGGGAAGGGGTTAGGTTTTCAGAAAAAATAGAATTATAATTTTAATATATAATAGATCATAAATAACATTATGTGTAGATAAGATGAGATAAGATTTTTATAATAATATCAACAATTTTTTATTTTAAATTTATAGACTTTATGACCTAGGTATATATGAACTATTAATATTATAACATAAATAAATACATGATATAAAACATTTCAAAAGGGCAGCTAAAGCCCTCTCCTCACCTTGGATCCTCAACTGGATCCATCCGCGTTTTCTATCAGTATAGATTTAAGTATATCTTATATCCCAAAAATATTGCTCAAATGGTCTGGTCCAAAATAATACGTGGAAGAAGTGTAGTGCTATAATTATAGTCTACTGACGAGTCTTTTGGCCATTCCTCGACCATGTGCCCTATACATCGTTGCAGCCTGCCTGTCCTTGGAGGTGTATCAAATATATTTATTTATATTACTGCATACTAGCTTTGCAACCCCCGACTTTTCCCTGGGAAAAATACGGAGTTACTTCGGTGTATATTGATTTTAGTGTACCTCAGTGTTGATCGTATAATATAATTCTTAGTATATTTCCGAATGTGGTTCAAACTTCAAACTATACTTTCTAAACTCACCTGTTACACCTAAGAACAACCTCTAGTATTTCCTTGAAAACCGGGAGAGTAGTTTTTGTGTCTATAGCCAAAAAACATATAGAGGAAATATTTTATAACTAATAAACTTTCAAAATTGTTTTAAGATATAGTTGGTTTGTTCGAGGTTTATAAAACCAAACCCAACCATACACGTGATGCATGCGCTTTTCCCTTATCAGCCCGAGTAACCAATAGCAGCTACCTATTAATATACAAAAAATAATAATACTAACTAAAGGAGCATGAAAATGGTTAGACTATATGCACATATCATAGTAAGTAATTCAACAATTATTTATTGATATCGAGATATAAGTTTTTGCAGCTCTTTTCGTTGAAAAGCGAGATTGCTGCAATTAATGATGGATTTAATTTCGCTGGGTAGCCGTACGTCTATATTATTATTATCATTTACTAAATCCTATGGACGATGACACACGGTGTATCGGAGCACAATCAATTTGTGTATACCAGACTTATTTGTATCGTGCAATGCCGTAGCAAACTAACCTATATTATTCTCTCAGCTTATTTTTATTTTACCATTCTAAAGGTTTAAAAAAATAAATAAGGTATCAACGTTATTTTTGGTGATGTATGTGCAATATAAAAATATTGTTTTTATTGTCACCCCACATATTATTATAGAGAAATGTGTGGACCAAGAACCTACCATCCGGAATGGACTAGCTTGTAGCTGGTAATATTTTTCTTCTAATCCCTATTCCTTAGTGTAGGCTTTGATTGCTTATTACAGCCACCAAATTCTTAGGACCATTAATTTGGAAATAAAATGTAAAAATATTAGGTAAGTAACACAATTAAATTTCGTTTTTAAACTCGTCACATACGTAAGTATGTGAAATAGATATTGTGTACGACTTTATTTACCACGCATTGTGTATATTATTTGAAGCATTGAGAAGAAAGCACTAGTTTTATACTCCCGACCCATAATTATTAAAATAAAGGCTTATAGTGTGTATATAGGTACCCAAATATATTAAAAACTATTTGCAATTTTAATGTTTTTGTTTGAAAATTGCACTTCGTACAATCTACATAATATTATAATAGTATAAAAACTAAAATAAAATGTATCTATAATAAAATAATATTTTGCATATTTTACAATTATTATATTTTGTATGTAGTATTATTCAAATTATTTTTTATGCTTAAATATGTGCATATTTAAATTTTTTTTTGTTTTTGTTTTGCATTATTAAATCTCGAGACCATTAACATCTGCAGGTATTTACATTTTAGATGTGCGGAAAATAGTGTACACGAAGTAGTATATAGTAGCGTGTTCACGCTGCAGCACTATTGTCTAAACATCTAAACTTCACGATTTTATGTTAATAAATGTAATAGACTATTTTATTTTATTTATTTTATATTTTAATTAATATAGGCAATATTTACATTTTACAATAATATATTTCCATCAAAATTTAAATCTACTCCCTATAAGCAAAGCTTGTGGTGGGAGCAAAGAGTCTATTACACAGTTATTTATATCTCAACATGTATTAATAAATATAGTAATGATTTAATTAATAAAATAATTATAGAATTTAATGACTTATTTTAAAAGACCACAACAATACATAAGTAAACATACAATTTATAAAAATGAGCCACTATTATTATTGTTTAATATTCGATACTTTTTTTCCCTTGTTATCGGGAATATGTGGAGGAACTGGTGTTGGCACCAGAGGAGGAACTGGTGTTGGCAATATTCGGTACTTATACGTCAATACCTATACAATTTTTGCAGTTCCTACGATTCCCGCAAAGATTAAACTAGTCATTATTCACACTCAAGTATAATATAAATTAATTTTTTTTTTATTAGCCTTCAGTCATAGACTATTATGGCTCAATAATTACAATATTAGGGATAAGGGATACATATTATGTAACAATATTACAGACGGTAAAAGTAGTAATAGCAATAAATATATAGTAACAAGATAGATGATCGAACATATTGCAAACAATCAATATGTATAAACACAAAAGATAATTAACATTAATGTGTAGTATTATAACAACATAATTGATATAAAATAGGGAGATTAAAATGACATAATATAATATAAATGAATTATATATCGATTAGGGGTGGCCAGCGATAAGAGATTCTCGACTCTCGAGCCTCGCAGTACCTACCTATAATGAAAAATATGCCATAATAATAGCCATAAGCAATAAAAAAAAAGGTTCTCAAATTCTCAATTATCGTAAATAAGATAATATATCAAAGGGAATAAAATTTGTAAAATTCGGAACGATAGAATAACGATGGTGTAATGTCAGATTGCATTTTTTCTTCATATTATTATACCTATTATTATACTTGTAAAAATGTCTTGCGTGACGTAAACTTGAGCCGTGCACATGAGTCTATGGTGTGAGCCGTGGTTTGGCGCCTCTTGTATTTAGGTTCCTGCAAGAAGGTAAACCTATATTATATAGGTAAACCATACAATAGTGCGTTTAACAAAAAAAAAAAAAATGAAAAAAATTCTCCCCACTGGGAGCTGATAATATCGATACTTATAGGTTTATACAAAAAAAAATGATTCCGGGACTCTTCTATACAGTGGGAGGGGATGATAATAGTGATACGAGAACGATGCAGGCCGCCGACGAGGGGAATAATATATTACCCCCGAAGTCATTACGCCCCTCTCTCCAAATCTAATTTTTTAAAAAAAATTTTGTCATATCGTGTTCAATAATTGATCAGATGTTTTTTCAACTGTGTAATAAATAATAATATACATAAAGACGAACGGACGGATGTTATTATGGCATAGCCATTACTTTGGGCAAACATACGAGCTGTATATCGATTTGTGGATTTCGGGTAACGGTAAAAAATATCAACACGGAATTTCATGTTTTTGTAAATAAATATATAGGTAAGTACCACGGTATAGGTAAACGGCGTTTTGTACGGGTTTATAAAATCGGGTGTTTCTTAAAGATGATTTCACCGGAATATATATAAAATACGTATTTTTGGTGGTAGAATATCATAGTCCATAGCAGACAGACGTTGTTTGAGATAGGGAGAAAATTCACGCAGGGGTGTTATATTCCTGCCTAAACTATCCCCCTCTCCCCTTCCGTGGTATACGCCACTGTATTCAACATAAAATGTACATCGTGGGTAGTGCGAAATGAGAGAACATACTATTACATTATTATTATCATAGGTATTTAAATATATAATTTTGCTAGAATTTAATTTAAAATTCCAATTAACTCCACCTGATTACGGATGTACCTTTTTACGTCTCTTATCATACTTATCGCACACACCATATTTTATCCAAATCTGCATTCATCTTCTACACAAACGATTCCGATCCCGCAAAGCCAACTACCATCCCCAAACCCCATCGTCAGTGATCTCAACTCCAAAATATCCCTGGAAATCCACCTGGACGATTAGCTCGCCAATGGCACTAAGACCTCATTCAAATTCAAATTAATCATTAGTTAATACCGAGCAGCAAAAGTGTCTCCACTGAAGGGTGACTTTTCATAATTCAAATTTACCAGCAATTCGTGATAATTATATTATACTATTTGATCATACGCTTATAATAATTATAATGAATTATAATGAATCGCTTTTTGTTAAAAGGACATTTGTTTCAACAGATAAACTTTTGGGAAATGATAAAAAACTACATAAATTGTGCTGCACATGTGACCTTTTAACAAAAATCATAGAATAAAAAAATTATATCTCTGTTATAATAAGTAGCACATGTGCCATTTTAACATATATGATAAACTTATATACAAATAACA